GTTTTTGTAAATACCAAAAATGGCCATAAATCCATACCGTTAATAACCACAAGCCCCAAATGTATTTGAATTGTTTACGCTCTTCTACTTTTTAGGAGCCTCACTGTCCATAATTAACGAATTTTGTTGTAACTGTACTGCAATAAAATATAAACCATGTTCTTGTGCCGAATTCTTCTGAATTCTCCCTGACCTCGCAGCTAAGTCAAACATTTTGAAGCTTCAATGAACCTTCTTCTACATTTTGAGGTGAAGGATAAACGGAACACACGAGCACATGAATTGACGACCCTTGCGATGGAGAATAAAAGCTGTGATTTAAAAGAGCAACAATACTTTGCCTTACCAACGCACATTAAGTCAGCACAATGAATGAAAACTCTATAAAAAAAAACTTAAGTCTAACAAAAGAGCGCCCTGCATTATAGATTCTCGTGCGACCCTCTTCCCTCTGAGTTATATGACGGCATTGCATTTTGTTGTGCCGCTTTGGGCCATACGGTCATTGGCCTCCAAGCCATTGTAATGTCACTGCCAACCTAAGCGTTTTTGGGTTGGTGGAGCAAGTGTGACATGCATTTTTGCTATACTAAAATATTCCTTTAAATGAACATAATAAAAATTCTGAAAGGCAAAATAACAGCGCTTTTCTTGCACAATTAAGATATGACAGAAGGTAAATAAGGCTAGAGAGTGAGCGTGGGGCCTGAGACTAATAAAAAAATTCCACTTACATTCCAGCAGCGATTCAATGAATTGTTCAATGCAAGGAGTTGATTCCACCAAGGAACGTGATGCGAATTGTAAGGATATCTTTGTGAACTTTAAATTCTGACTGTTGGTCGACGTATAATCAGCGAAGTGTACACATTAAACGCTACAGTCCAATGTGACAAAATTGTAATTGAAGTGAAGTTTCTTTTTCACTCGATTTTAATTCGTTATGGCTTTCGCCTCAATGCGATGAATTAATTAATTATACACCAACTGTAATGGACTCTGATTGAGAGTTCGAAAAATGTAACAAACATTCATTTGTGTATTTGCAGATTATTCAATTTATACTTGAGAATAGGTTATTTGTAACAATACCGTGTTTCGAAATAAACTTAGAAAGTTCAGAAATTACATGCTGAAATATGACTTCGAATAAAAATGACAATCGGATTCCAGCCAGTTCTCTTACTTTAAAACTGTTAACCTGCAGAACTTTGATTGTGACGGCCAAATAATTTTCAAATTTTCTACTACAAAATTTATTTCAATTAAAGATATGTTAAAATCTTTATGAAATTGTTTATTAAAGCCAAGAAGCTTCAAAAGTTGCCAAGACTTTGCAATATTTTTCACTGTCTAACTCTTTTCATTAAGACGCATCTATATTCCAAAATATGTTTACATTAAAAATTTGCAGAATAGGTACATTCCGTGTGATACCCATTTTTCTTTGTCTAAATTTTGACACGATATTTCAGAAACCGACTTATATTCTATAATAAGTATAGCAATAAGTGTGACGTAATATAGGTGATATAATAAAGTGTAGCAATAAGTGTGCCTCTCTATATTATTGTGTCCATTCAGTTTCGGGACTTTTTGAGTTCACTGAAAAGTTGCTGGTGGGATGCGATCATATCAACTTCATCAACAGATTAAGGCACACAATGTGTGTTGGTGTTGAAACGCTTTTACCGAAATTAGTCATTTTATTCGTAACATAAGTGATAACACGATTCATTCAAGTTTTATGTGTAGATAACATGAATAATAAGAACAAACCCACTCTCAGCAGATCTTCGATAATATTGCCAGCTTAACTTTTTTAGTGAATATATATTTGGTTTTATCCCAAAAAATAATATATTCTAGCTAGATTACAATCGAAATTATTATTTTCGGCATATTATAAATGCGCCGAAATGTAGGCAACATTGGTTAGAAATTTCATGCTTTTACTTTTTATATCGAATTGGATTAAAGCAAGGTCGTTAAGTGAAAATTCATTTTTATTTCGAAAACCATACAAAATGGAAGAGCATATTTATATTATATTATATAAGTATATACAAAAACAAATGCAAATGGCTTTGTCTCAATATTCAAGGGAAAATGCTTCTAATTCAATACTAAAGCTATTTTTTAGTTTAGAAGAAAATGTTGAGTTACGTCTGGTGAACTATTACTTTTGCACGAAAATCCAAATATTTAAATAAGAAGCCATTCGGTGCCCATATGCCTCGGGCCACCGCTGTTCACGAGTAATTAGCATAATTTCACAAATGTATACTAGTTTTTCGTAGAAAAGGAAAGGGAGAAGCAGAGAAAACATGAAAAACGTAATACGAAAGTAAATAAGCAAATGAAGGCATGAAAAAGCCTTATTTTTTGTTTCGAAACATTGAAATAATGTACACGCACTGCCTGCGGGACTCATTGGCTTAGTGATTGAGGGAATGCTAATGGATCCCTGCCCATTTGTTATGTGTACACTTGCGCCGACATACATGGCTAATGCTGCATATATACATACATGCATATCCATATATATAAATGCATTATATATATATATATATAATATATACACATTTTTGTTATATATATGCATGTAGTCATGTATATGCATTTACTCATCTATATGCATATATGTGTGCGTATGTATATTTGTGTGTGCGTATTGCACTCTATATTCATTTAATATCAACTCTTTGTGTGGGACGATTCACTTTTTATGAGCGAACATTTTCCATCTCTGAAAATATTTGCTTGGCACATTTGTACTTTCATTTACATATGTACATGTAGAAATGTATTTGCGCAGAGTTTTTATTTGCGGTTGGCATAAACAAAATTGCTTATCATCTCAAACTAATTAAGCAGCATAAAAAGCACCCAAGTATTTTCCACTTACCCGAACGGACTGGTAGTGACCCATAGTGGGCCCCAGACAGCTTCAACAGGTGAGCGCGCGTGTTTAAAAGTAGATGAAGTGTTTCATCGAATATTGCGATTTCAGCTTATTTCATTTTGTTTTGTACAAATGCAGCCATAGATATATTCTTATGTGAGCCGAAATCCGTATATTTTCCAATTCCCATCGGCTCTGCTAGTTCAATGATTTTGCCGAACAGCTAAGAAATTTGTTGTCACATAAATTGTCAAACAATTATATTTGTTGTTGTTCTTTTAAAACGCTTTTTGTCACAAATTGTTCTTCTCGCGATTTCTTGATAAACTGTTGGCTGCTATGACTCTTAACATTTCTTTTTGGGAATATTTTCTACGAGTGTGAATTTAAAACCTAATGTTCGTGGGAACTTATCTAATTCACACCGTTTTTAATTTCGAAAAAAATATAATATTATTAGGTTTGTGTTTCTTTTTTTTTTAATTTTTTTTTTTCAAATCAAATTTTAATATATTAATTTCTGTTTTCTCTTCTTGTATGTCGCTGATATTTTTATGACCTAAACGTTTTTAAAAGGCGTGTAGATCGAATAAAGAACTGTTTTAATATTTTGCTGTTTCAGTTTCAGAAATCGAAAGAGAATTTGATATTTCTACTGATCTTAAACATAGAACACATAACTGATGAAATCTGAACTCGCTTAGTTCCCTTGGAGGTTGCTTAAAGAAAAATGCCATTTTTGTCATGTTTTCAAAGTATATTCATAACTATTTGATAGGCCTATTTATATCCACCAGCACTACTAAGTTCCAAATAAGTTTATAAACAATACATATTCAAAGCTAACTGTACCTAGTTGGTTAAAAAATATTCTTAATCTAAAAAGAACTTTCCGCCTTTAATATAATGCCCTTGATAGTTGATAAGCGTGGTGCATTTCAAATAAATTTTTGACTTGTGCAAAGATTCTACTTTTCGAATTCTTTACAATCAAAATATACATTTACCTCAAATTTCAATCTGAAAAGTACCTTGGGGCAGTGTATGCCCCCTCTGCAATTTCCGTATTTATTTTTTCTTTTTTTAAATGCTTTTTCATCATCTCACCATCTCATCTCTTCTAATTATTAGTCACAAATTGATTCACTTTCATGTCAAATGTCACGGTGAGTTGAACCTCAGGAAATTTATCCTAAGCCTTCTACTTATTCAAAGAGACCAAGTCCAGTTATTTCAATTAAGGCTTTCCTTTTGCCTTTTAGGTCAATTGTATGCAATTGAGCGTTTGCTCCTTGAAACTACGCCATTTTCATTTCAGGTCTTAGTTATAAGCAAATTCAGAATAAGCTTCTTCCTGTAATTACAATTTCAATCAGCTTTTCGTCTGCACTCGGATTTAACGCAATAGCACTCAGCTCCTTTTCCATTTAAACCTCACTTGCTGCACACATCCCCACACACATATTTGTGAGCCAGTATGTTGGCCATGTACGTGCTACATGCAATTGTCGCATTAAAAAGCGTACACACGGCGACACTTTAACTTGTGCGTGCGTGTGTAAGTGTGTGTACATAATAAATGCCCTAAAATTTACGTACATGAAAATGCATATTTGTACATTCCACACGCAGTGCGACGATTCCGATTATATTTGCACACATTGCCACTTGATTTGTGCCACACATGCGTGTTCTGTAAATACAATATTGCAACAAATGCCACTACAACATGTAAAAGGTCATAAAGAATCGGAAAGACTCTAGCTACTGCTCACCATCCTGTGCAGAGGCTCACATGAGCGGGGAGAAGGGGCGCACACGTGCACCACTAGCCACATATGCCACTTGCCACATGCCGCATACTTTATCAAATTGCCATACATGCAACAACATCGCCACCGCTGCCAATGCAATTTCACTCCACTTATTTCCGCCACGCAACGCAAGAGTCACGGATTCGCGCGAGAGGGGGCAAAAGGAAATCACACGAATATTCAACTCAACGCAAATGTGTTTTTTTAGCGAATTCTTCTTCAAATATTTTTGGGTTCCCGTATTCCTTTAGCCGCTTCAACGCGCGCGTACATGAACATACTTCACCACATAACGCGAGCGCACGCACACATGCGTACACATATGTACATACTTGCTAGATTAATTTGTACTCTACTTTAACGACTTCGTCGCGTTGTGACTTTGTACCCTTTCACAGTTTACTGCCTCGATACCAAATGTCAACAGCACAAAACCTTAGCCTCGCCGCCACCGTCAACATTCAACCGAACTGTTATTACCACTGGCGCTCAAATGACTGCTGTGACGAAGTCAAAGACGAGGCCGAGTGAATTTCATAAAACAAAAAATAGCACAACTTCTAATATATTCTGTCTCTTTCACTTCTCAGCGTTCTCTTCGTCGTCGTCGTCCAACTGCCGCGACATACGTCCGTGCAGTAACGCGTCGAAATCCCTACTAAACGCAAGAATCCGGTGGCGGCACAAATATTCGCTGGCAAGCACATCCGACGCCACGCACGGACACTTGTGGCAGTCGCGCTCGCTTTCTTGCTTTCGGAGTCGTTTTCGGAGTGAACGGCAAATTCTTGCAGTTCCCCGCTCGCGCTGCCCGGCAAGCCAGCTATGCAGCGGGCCTGGGCAAATCAGCTGTCGGTCGGCAGAATCAAGCAAGTGGTTGTCGCCTCTCTCCGGCTGTGAGTGCGCGCCCGTTCATAGAGCGAACGAGCTCCCCACTTGCTTACCTTGGCGCTTAGGCCACACTGTCCGTCTCTGTGTTACTGGGGCGCTCATGCGATGGCACATATTTGTGCACATGTGTGTCATGCCCTTGCGTCTTCAGACCTGGATGTTCATAAACATTCATCTATACGGTTAAGTATGCATATGTTAGTATTTATGGTGGCACAGTGGAGCAAATGTAACGAAGATAAATACAAGAAATAGTAATCGAATTTTTTCAATGTGAGTTTTCAGCGATTCCCACTCCCCGGTATATATACATTTATGCATTGAGATTTAAATAGCTGTTAATGAATTAAATATCAGAACGCCCTGAACAGCGCATATTGAGTTTGCCACGTAATTTGTAACTCCCCAAAGAAAATGTGGAAGACCTATAGATTATATATAAAAATTATCAGCGTAACATGCTGAGTGAGCTGAGTCGATTTTACCATGTCCGTCTATCTGAATATACACGAACTACTCCCTTAGTTTTTGAGATATCAATCTGAAATTCATTGCACATGTCTTTTTCTCCCAAAGAAGATGCTCAATTTCCGCAACCACCGATATCGAACCATTATAGCATGTAGCTGCCATACAAACTGACCAATCAAAATCAAGATAAAGATTTTCATAAAAGATCTTTTTTTCTTTATTAACTAACCTTAACTCGACTTAACTGTTTGAGTTAGCTAGAAAAAACTAACAAAACGTTTTACGTTCGATGCAAACCGTTCGCCGGTGACGTTTTCAGAATTAGTTAGTTGTACATGTAGTTGCTAAAAGAAATGCACCTGTTAAGGGAAGGGTCTTTTTCGCGTATATAAATATGACACTAGCTTACTCGTACAAGCCTATGAGCCTATTAGCAACAAAGTGCTCCAACTATATCATCAACTTTCGGAAGACATACTAAATATAGTTCGAAGAAAACAATACACTCTGGACCAATTAGGACCAATAATAAACATTTTTATTGGTTCTCAACGTGTAAATGATTTCGCCGAATGCCTTGACAGAAATATTACTGTCTCAAAATGAAAACAAAGTCCTACATTAGGCCACCTTTAAGAGCTTTTGCTTTTCTATCAGAAGCTTTTGCTGGAAATATCTAAAAGACCTATGTTGTTTTAAATGAATGTTTAAGCCCCAGTCAAATGAAACTGAATAGAAAGTTGTTGGCTTATTAAACGCTATTATTTTCTTTTACTCAAGTAGTGCGCAGGGGCGTATGAGTTATATGACGACCTACCAATGCCGCTAACAACTAAAAGTAACGTCCTCATGTATGTGTAAGCTTGTATATGTGTGTTTTTATGTGCGTAAATGGTTTATGGTGGTGTTGCCGTCAATCAAATCAAATTAATTGAACTTGAACAATTGCTTTTCTACTTCTCTACTTTGAAAACGCAAGTGACGCAGATGTGTGTGAGGAATAAATAAGTAACGGAGAACACTATATGTTGTCTATGGACACTATAATTTGGTGATGATAAAAAGAAATACAGTTTTATGTAGAGGCAGATCGCTCTGCATATATTCCTGAGTTTTATCGAAAATATTTTTTAGCGGAATGGTTCTAGTCGAAGTTGCCGTGCTAGGAAATGTTTAAGCAACTTGTCGATTGCTGAAGCTTTCGTCATAGAAAATAAATTAAGCAATTGTTGATAGCTAACTCGTACTAGTCCATTACAGGATCGACACTCAACCAGAGTGAAATTGGCCCAATATTTATTTATGGAAGTTCACTAATGAAAGCAAAGAAACATCTTGTAAATACAATGGTAACCCTTTTATTAACAAAAATTAACTTTGTTCACCAAATATTTTTAGTTTTTTATATTTTTTAGGAATTTCAAACTTCAAAAATTTGAATTTATTTGTTTTAATATACCTTATGCGACGGCAGCTGAAGCCTCTTCCTGGTGCAACAATTGCATTTCCGTTCAACAGCAGAGAGCCAAAACAATCTATGTCACCCGTTTGGTGGCAATTTGTTTGTTCGTTTTGAAATTGATATCAGCATGATATATTAACATTGAGGTCGGAAGTCGATTTGTTGCATTTAAAATGCAACTATCCTTCCACAAAGGCCGATTAGGCTATGGGGCACAGTTGGTTGCACAAGGCAATCGGTATACGTCATATGAAGCTCAATACCGCTTTACCTGCTGTGGACAATGACAGTGTTGGCTTTAATCGTTTGTGCGTTGATTGCATTCATTTGCATATTTAAACACTTTTCTGATGGCGCTGGTGAATTCTCAGCACAAGCCAACTGGGGATTCCATACTGCTTGTCCGTTAATGGACTTATTAGTCGACTTATAAATAAGTGAATAGTCAACTTTTGTGAATGTCTCAAGGGCACGTGTATGTGTAGTTATGTATATAGAAAAACCATAAGCCAATTTGTTCGTAGCATGACTTTTTTGAAAGCTTTTGATTATTGCTTTCTGACTCGCATTAGTTCTCCTAAATATAAGAAACAGCTTTTTATAACCAGGTCCCAGTCATCGTATGTATAAACAATATATGTTGATAAACAATTCCAAAGTAAAAAAAAAACTGTATTTGACTTCAGTTTCATTAACCATTAACTAAGAACTTTGCGCTTAAGACATAAAATACATACACACATGCATATATGACACAAAAAGTTCAGTGTTCATGCCACCTAACAGTTTCCTCTTCATACATTCCCATAACATCTATGTATATGCAGTCGCCTCGATCGATGTCATTTGTGCTTGTAAGAATTCTTACGCACCAACTGACACACATGCATACAAGTATATTTTCCTGCTGTTTTATGATTAAATTATGAGCTGTCATAATGTCGTAATTATTACACACACACACACACACATTCACTCATGTTTGGCAAAGCATTCGCAACGACCCCTGAACATTTTCATAAACGTCGTCGATAATGAGGCATATAAATATTCTCATTAATATTTCAGTAAACACATACATACACGCATATCATAGCACTTATACACATATACATATAAAGACGTGCGTATATCTGTTTGTACATATGCGAGTTTTCACGTGAGCAGTAATGTGAAAAGTTCCATGAAAACGGAAATGACTGAACACACACATTTTTGGGTAATGTTAGTCCGACTCGTTTTACATGTGAGTTATTAATGACGAAGGCATAAGTGTTGAGCGATGAACTTAAAGGGCTAGTGGGACAACCAGAAGCTCAAAATCGAGAAGTCTCTACACATGTCCAACATTCGATAAAACTTTAAAATTAATTTTCTATTTATACCACACAATTTAAAAATAAAGTAATGTTTTCTTTCTGTAGAAAATATCTAAATCTGACCAAACCTTTGGTAAACTGTGGACAGCTGATTTGACTAGAAGGCTATTGTGACATTGTAATCATCCAAAACCCCGCATTTTTGTAAATTTTCTCTTACATTTAAAGTGTAATGTTTTGAGGCTGCTCAATTTATTATCTATTCACCGCGGTAAATTTATAGATATATAATATAATAGAGTGCATTGAATAAAGGGCGCGCTTATTGGTGAGAACATGCATCAGTACCAACGTGGTTCAAGAGTAAATCAACTGAACTGTTGCCTTCATTAATTTTTAACCGCAAATATATGTTATTGCTACACTTAACGTTGCTTGCGAGCAGAGTAAGACGACACAAGCGCGCTGTGAGCGCATAGTTCTGACAGCCAAATTGCTGAACTCATTCACTGGCGACACCCCCCCAAGCAACGTTTCATCCGATTCATTGCCCGCGAAGCTGCCATAATGCGAAGCATATCTGTGAATGTTTTCAGGTATAAAAGCAGAACACGACACATAAACCAGCGCGTTTACGAGCGCACAGATGCCGTAATTATATACCATATGTATTCAGATGCGCTGAGGTCATTGACAATGCCACAACACACTTAACCACTTATCCAGTGAATGGCACTCCACAGTCTTCCGGGTGGCAAGAATTATGTTTCTCGTGTCTAACAGCGACGCGTGATCCTGCCACAAAGCACCACAGCAGATATACACTTCCCCCATTATCAAAACAGATATGTACCTCAAGAGTGAGGAGCTGTAGTATCTTAAACACTCGGTTGAGTGCAGCGCATGCGTATATGCACACATCCATAAATATACTTGTAGGTGAATATGCCACAAACGTGTTTATATCTGAGCGTGCATGTAAATGTTTAGGAATGCTTCTGGAATCATCTAATATTGATTGTATCCGCTGTAGCATGCCAAGACACCATTATTATGCTCTCTAATGAGACCTCAACACTAACATTACCAGCTCCGCATTTCAGCGGCATGTCATCGGAACATTATCAGATGACGTTTGCTGTCCCCTTAGGATTTCTCTAATCGCAATTACAAGTAATATATAAGGTACCACAAAAATACCCCGCCAGGCTTTTCCAACAACCAAGAGTTAAGACAAAAAATATAACGCCGATCATACTGTAAAGGGTTCACAATTTAAAATTGATAGTCAAACTTTAATCACTTTTTGTTTTCGCTTTCTTTTATCAATCCACTGACCCACATGAAATGGCACTCTGATGGAAGTAGTTCGCATATGTGCAATCCAGTACCACGATCTTCCCTACTTCACACTTACGATGCCCACTTTATACTGTTATGTTCGCCTTATCTCAACACTGAAATGGCGAAAAATTGCCATCAGAATAAATATTGGGGTTAAAACCGAAATTTTATTTGCCAATTTTCTCACGCTCGAGGCAACCGATTGCCATTAAGGAATGTCGACGATTTTGAAAGGAAT